TCCTTTAGTGCTGATCTCGCGGCCATGTTCCTTTAGTGCTGATCTCGCGGCCATGTACCTTTAGTGCTGATCTCGCGGCCATGTTCCTTTAGTGCTGATCTCGCTCCTCCTCGTTCTCGCCTTCAGGACTTTGACTACAACCTGCGCATCATGAGTCTGGACGACGTCGAGCGGCTGGCGAGACACGGCCTGCGTCTGCAGCCGGACGGCGACGCGTGCGATGCGTAGCAACGTGCGTCACCACGGCAACGGAGACGGTGACGCGGCAACGACACTCAAGACATGCGTCGCTGTGTTCCTGAACTGCGATCGTTCACGGTGTTGTGGAACCACGACTGTTCTGTCGCAGTGTTCCGGAAGCGCGATTGTTCTGTCGCAGTGTTCCGGAAGCGTGATTGTTCCGTTACAGCGTTCCAGAACCACAATTGTTCAGTTGCAGTGCTCTGGAACAGCGAGCGTTCGCGGTGTTCCGGAACCGTGATTGCTCGCAGTGTTCCAGAACTGCAAGCATTCACAGTTGCAGTCGTCTGTACTGCATGAGTTGGTCGTGTCTGCACTGCCGTGCGTCCGCGCGCGTGTGGAATCTTCGTTGTTAGATTGTGAGAGTTTTGATGAGTGTAGTTGTGAAGGATATCGATCGGCAATGATAATTATGCACGTGGACGCGGTTCGAGACGGGAAGTCTTATTACGAATGATAATAAATAATTCTTTTTTTACTTTTAATTGAAACGATAACTCGTCGATTGCTGGTCTACTATTCTAATGCATATTCTGACGTTTGCAACCAGTGTTGGCCTTGGTATTGCATGGGCTGTCATGCCGCACAAGTGATGTAATAACTGAAATTTAATATTGATGTCAACTACCAAACGGTTACGTAAGTTTCTAGTGATTCGAGAATGAAAATAGGTCTCAAGTCATGATATCAGTCATAAAGTCACAAAACAAGATGATTGTACTACGTAAATGTTTAGCGAAAAATAGTTGCACCTGCACCTTGAAAAAATATTTATAAACTTACGGGTGTGGTTTTCGTTTTAATTTCACACCTCTTGTGTATATTATGTCTCCCGATGTAAATATACAAACGTGAACAAAATTTCTACAGTACTGGGCACTTTTTATTCCACATTTGCCACGTCATACGGATCACGAACGAAACTGAAAATACACGTAAAAGCTTAAATAGTCTACAAACAAAAGTGCGACGCGCCGTGGAACAATCACGCAAGCGTTGACCGGACTTGCGCGAAATAAAAAAATAATAATTTATTGTGATTTCCGACTTGTACTCGTCGGACAAACGAAGAAGTCAGCTTGAGCATACAACTTGAGTATACTCGCCCAATACTGACGATAACGACCTAGTAGTCGTCTGCTTATTCAAGTCATGGAGGGAGATTTGCGCACAAGAGCAAACTATGACACTTTGCGTATGGCATAGAAAAATTACAGCTATATATTTGCGTGCCCGATCCATTCACACACTTCCATACTCGCCCTGAAGCCACCAGAACACATTTCTACATGTTTCCGATAAGGCATAGAAAAATTACATCTATATATTTGCGTGCCCGATCCATTCACACACTTTCACACTTGCTCTGATGCTATCAGAATATATATTTGCGTGCCCAACTCATTCACACACTTTCATACTTGCCCTGATGCATCAGAACACATTTCTACGTGTTTCCGAACCGGCATTTACTATCCTTAGACTTAGGTGATACAATCCTGTCACCTAACTGTCAAAGGAATTCTTTTCGTACCATGATAAGTACCACGATAAGTTACCACGATAAGTACCACGATAAGTTACCACGTTAAGTACCACGATAAGTTACCACGTTAAGTACCACGATAAGTTACCATGTTAACTTGTTAAGTACCATGTTAAGTACCACGATAAGTTACCATGATAAGTACCACGATAAGTTACCATGTTAAGTACCACGATAAGTACCACGATAAGTTACCACGTTAAGTACCACGATAAGTTACCATGTTAACTTGTTAAGTACCACGATAAGTTACCATGTTAAGTACCACGATAAGTTACCATGATAAGTACCACGATAAGTTACCATGTTAAGTACCACGATAAGTTACCATGTTAAGTACTTAAGTACCACGATAAGTTACCATGATAAGTACCACGATAAGTTACCATGATAAGTACCACGTTAAGTTACCATGTTAAGTACCACGATAAGTTACCACGTTAAGTACCACGATAAGTTACCATGTTAACTTGTTAAGTACCACGATAAGTTACCATGTTAAGTTACCATGATAAGTACCACGATAAGTTACCATGTTAAGTACCAAGATAAGTTACCATGTTAAGTACCACGATAAGTTACCATGTTAAGTACCACGATAAGTTACCATGATAAGTACCACGATAAGTACCACGATAAGTTACCATGTTAAGTACCATTC